GCCGCGGCAGCTCAGAGATCAGCTATCGGTCAGCTCAGAGGTCAGCTGCCGGTCCGCAGCGTCAGTTCCGCCTCCCTCGGCAGTACAGATAACACCGCTGAGGAGGGGGGGGGGGGGGGGGGGGGGGCGTGCATGTCGAGACAGGAACGATCCGTCACCGTCCGGACTGGACATGAGTCGACGAAGGCCTTCAGATTTACAGGAAAGTAATCCAAAAGTATGAAGTGAGCTTTTGCTGAGGAATGTGCTCTTCGATCACTCACGATCTTGTTCTTTGCCTGCGAAAAACAACTGTGTTTTCAGTAGCGACCTTCTGGCCCACATCGCAGGCAGATATAAACAAACCTAATCGTCTGCCTGTGGTGTGATTTTTACCCTGTTCCCATTCTCGTTAGTTATCATTCACGAACAAACACGTGACAGATGGAGCGCCACAAAAACCATCCAGACCGCAAACAGCGATGAGTATCCACTCGTGTGTTTGCCGGCAAATACCACGTGAGAGCAACCAACACGTCTCCGAGATGTCGGCCATCTCCCGGGTGTAGGGCGCCTGGGATTCTAAGTTGGGGAGGCAGGATTTTTCAGCGGGCCTGCTGGACAAAGTGGGCCTCCTCACAGGGAACCTCTTGGGCAGTGCTGCGTTCAAGGGGAGCCGGGGGCATGTGCTCCCTTATCGAACTGTTACACACATCAGTATCCATATGGGGAGGGTATGGTGAGTTGCATCACCTTTTATTTTGGGCTCCTTGACACCATAACTCAGGGAATAGGATAAGACGCTTATAGCTGCAGATGCATGTGCAGCAACACATTTTTCATGCATTTTTTGGAGAGCACGTCTTCATTTTCTTGGTAAACAACCTTTGGTAAACCGCTTTCATATGATACAATCTGCCCCACCCAATGGTAAATGGCACCACATAGCAGGGAAGCTGCATCAATTTTTTCTTTTGCATGCAGCAGGTTGTATCGCAAGCACACTGAATGTGTTACCATACATAAACAAAAGGCGCTCCTCTCTTCTATTTCATGAATCGTCATCATTGTGACCTGACACAGATCTGCCCTTTTTGTATGTCAGTGTTTGCTCTACAACCACTGTCCCCTCGGGCTCTGTTACGCAAGTAGCAGTTAAGGATCTACATATGTTCTAAAAATGCCCACTTGCTGTCTCGATGACGATACGTCATGACAATCATGTTAGTCCATCATTGACGGTAAACCAGTCCACGACATTATTGTCGGTACATTATATCACTGACACAACATAATCCATGCATAGCTCATACATGTACCGTCCGACATCTTGGACGAAAATCTGCGTCATCCCGCGAAATATTTAACTGGCAGACGCCATTTTCGCGGCATGTGTGGCACTTTACTTCCCACCACTCAGTACAGTATTAGGATTAATCTGGCTATACCGAAAGACCTTAAGCACATATTTCCACCAAACGCCAAAATTTTCAGCTATATGCAAAACTCATATTTGTCGCGCTCACCTCAGGACGCGCGCGCGTATGTCGCCGCCAATACACTGAAAGATACAGGGCGCTCTTGTGCGTCAGCCGGGTGGGGTAAAGCCGGCATCCGTCGCATACATTTGAAGCAAATAGTCCTGATGGCACTTGGATACGCTACAACTCGCCCCACTATGTACCATACATGTCTGAAAACCTATATGGGGTTACAACCTACATAGGAACTCCATGTCTGCGAACTACATGTCTGAAAGTCCAGTGCGTCATTAAACAAACCAGTTCGTCATTCTAAGGCCAATTTACACCCCGACATGAATTGGCACAAGGTGTATGGAAGAGCTCAGAAGGGGCTGACCGGGCGCTGACAACCTCCCCATTGAAAGAACAATGGCGGCGGTTTGCGGCATGATTTATGGACTATCAGCAGCAGGGCGCACAAGAGTTTCTCAGATGCCTGCTGTAGGGCTTTGGATTTGCAGGGCAGCGGTTGGGTTCACGAGGACGTGGACGACTTCAGCAACCAGCTCAAACCGACAATCATCCACATCGATGACAGCCGCAGTGCCAGCCTGAAACCGCTGGAGCGCTGGAAGCATTTCTTGTTCCTGAAGACCTCGTAGTTCGGGGACCTGAGCCTGCCGACCAGATCAATGACGGGCCAGGCGCCATTGTTGGACTGCTTTGGCCTATTTGCCAAGGAAGAAGTGCTTGACGGAGATCAGAAGCCCACGCATGTACTCCATGTGCCAGAAGCGTCGAAAGTGCTCCTTGAACTTCATCATTCAGAGGTTCCTACGCATTCTCGTGGAATCTCTGAAAGCGCTCTTGCTGCAGCAGGATCAGTACAGAGATCAGTTCAATACCACCGTGGACTTCGCCCCCAGCCGGCTGGACCTGTCGCCACACCGTCTCCCATACCGAGATACTGGAAGTACGACTTGCGCTGCGTGACACAGCACTGTGACGTGGCGCATTAGAGCCACTGCGAGGCTCACTGTAAACACCGCTATTTGGGAGTCCGGTATCAGTACATTGACTCCAGAGTCCAGCCGTCCGTGTGCTCCGCGCCAAGAGCTGCAAAGCATGCGTGCTGTTTTTCTAGCTGGTCGGTCACTGACCTGGTGCAGACCTGAACGCTATTACTCAAAGGTGGTTGAGAGGGCTGTCTCGCCGCTCTTCCCGCCGGCTAATCGCTTTTGTAGTGTTCAGTTCTTTCCATGTATGTCGGATTCTGGCTTTAAATGCATAGTTCTTGCCATCAGTTGATGCCTTACGACGACCGCTGGACTAGATCTTCGAAAGGTTGTGTTCGTGCTACCACAAAGACATGGACGATCAAGGACGTACAACTTGCCCGTAATGCTGAATTCCCCATCCGTATAATAACTTCACCCATGATGCTAAATCGTAAGAACCTGATTATATGTTTTGACCCCAGAGAGTCGCTATGTGTGCTATACCCGAAGACGCAGTGATATGATCTACTGCTTCTTTGAAGGCTTCCTACCTATCGCGAAATTTGTGAGCAGCTTGAAAGAAAAAATATCAAAAAATTTGACGCGTCGTGGGCGGTTTTCTGCATGATATTGAGGTGGCTGGCTGACCGATCAGGGAACGAGCAAAAGCCAACTGTCAGGGCTCTTTCTTCTACAAAAGAAGTGTAATCTAGCCGATACCAACGCTGGTGGCGTAGCTTTCTCCTTACAGTTTGGTTCAGACTTCGATTATTTACCATCCATGTTTATGCTCTGGAATTCATGCAAGGGATTTCGGTGCTTGGTGCCTTTAGATGGAAGCGAGCGCATCCTGCAGGAAGGAAGAAGTCAGTCATGTAAATTGCCCTTGAAGTAATCCCGTGGTGTTCATATTTGAAAAGGCAAAGCTCATTAAAATGCCCTTTAGGTCAGACAGTCCTGAACATGGGTACTCGACGATAGGAGACTTCACGGTTTAGACAGACCCGGGGCTTTCATATGTGATCGCTAGCCTTTGCATTTGTATTCATTTTAGGAAAACTCCAGGGACGAATATCGGCAATGCTGGTTATTGACACAGGCACGTGTAAGATTTTTACGAAATGCTAGGTAGATGTCTCAAAAAACCCACACAATCTTACTGCTTCCGCTTCGCGCCGTCGTTCTTAAATCCATAAGTAATTATTTTACAGTTATCGACGCAAAACGGCAACATTGGGTGCAAAATTTAAGCACAATCCTTATCTCATCTTATTATTTCGTCGAGCCCTTTGATCAGATGGATTTCTGAGACCAGTGGCGGCGCTGAGCCATGCTCGTTGCGTGAGCGCTGGCTCCCCGTTCGGCCGCAACATTCCGGGTCGTCGGCAGAACTCCGCGACGGCAAATTTACATGTCTATTCGGCACGGTCTTCCTCACTCTCTGACGTCACCTTAACTTAAGCGCGACTGCTGTCACATTCCGCGGGATACTCTAGTCAGAGGCAAACAGCGAGGATATAAAGCGACTCAAACATAATCCGCTACTGGTGGTAGAGCGAAGGCGGACGCCCAAACCAACTGAGTCACCGTACGGGCAGGAACTTTGAGGAAACTTTGCCATAATTTAGAGATTACGCACTGTGAAAAAGCAAACGGGTAGGTAACGTGTAAGTAGACCTGTCAAGAAACGGTTAATGGGCAGGTGTAGGCGAGAGAGCTTCACGGGCTGGTTAACCCCATAGGAGCGCATGTGATATGGTAACAGGGTGAGTTGGTTAAGGTTTTGGGGGGAAAGTATGAGTACTGATATAGTTAAGGCGTTTGCGTAATGTCGGACAGATTCCCCGTGAAATACGATACTGTTCACACTTAATTTATCTGTGATTAGCTCCATTCACACCACTACTGCAACTAACCACGCAAAAGAGTAAGTTCAGATGTATACGATCCCGATGGTCTTCATAATTATTCATCAAATATCAGGGATAATGCATACTAGTGGGTAGCGGGTGGGCATCACTGGTCACGGCTGGTTAATGACTGGGTGTGGGCACAGCTGCATAGATAACGAGTTGATAAGGTTAAGGAGACTTTTCCTGCGAAAGGCTCTAGTGTGTGCACAGTCCCAGAGGTAGCCCACGGATTTAGTAAGGCAAAGCCTGCGGGTGAAGTCGTGTATTTTCCAATTCCCTGGGCAGTACTACCCTCCCACTTTCTTCAACTTTTGTCTTGGTTCTCGGCCATTGATCCAAACTTTTAGTGAGGTTTGTTTTACTTGAAATTAATTTCTAAATCATTGAAAATTTACATTTTAAGCGTGTGTACCGCATAATACACTCTCCGTGTGTTCTTCAGCGGACAGCTTCGTTTAGTCTGGTTAAGCATCATGCGATTTTCTTGCCTGGTGCGCGCCATAGCACCACAAATATTGCAGCTGTTTCGTACAAAATCCCGCCCTGCCCCTCCCGCTCCGTTGCGCCACCCGTGCCTTCGTGTCGACGAGAACCGACCCCGGCGCCTGCCCAGCAGCGTGCACAGGGCGGCAGCCCAGCCGACTTACGTTGGCAGGTGAGCCGTCTGTGCAAGGGGGAGATGATGAGCGCGCCGCACGAGTCGCACCAGCTCCTGAGCGGGCCGCAGAAGCTGGGGGCTGTCAGCCGGTGCCCGCCGCCGCCGGTGCCGGGCTCTGCCGACGGGGTATGGGCGGACGCCATCCGGTGCCGGCCGAGGTCCGCTCCCTCCGGCCGAGGTCTGCTGCCGCCGGCCGAGGTCCGCTCCCCCCGGCCGAGGTCCGCTGCCGCCGGCTGAGGTCTGCTGCCGCCGGCCGAGGTCTACTGCCGCCAGCCGAGGTCCGCTGCCGCCGGCCGAGGACCGCTCCCTCCGGCCGAGGTCTGCTGCCGCCAGCCGAGGTCCGCTGCCGCCGGCCAAGGACCGGCCAGAGGCGCGGCTCGGTGGCCGGGTCAGCTCCCTTACTGCGGCAGGGCGGCCCCGGCTGAACAGGGCGGAACACCAGCTCAGCTGTGCGCGCGCGCCTGACAGACAGCAGCAGGGCCCACACTCAGGCCTAGGACACCCTCCCTTCTCACCTGACCATACGACTGACAGACAGCAGCAGGGCCCCCACTCAGGCCTAGGACACTCTCCCTTCTGCCCTGACCATACGACTGACAGACAGCAGCAGGGCCCCACACTCAGGCCTAGGACACCCTTCCTTCTCACCTGACCATACGGCCGACAGACAGCCCCACACTCAGGCCTAGGACACTCTCCCTTCTACCCTGACCATACGACTGACAGACAGCAGCAGGGCCCCACACTCAGGCCTAGGACACCCTTCCTTCTCACCTGACCATACGACTGACAGACAGCAGCAGGGCCCCACACTCAGGCCTAGGACACCCTTCCTTCTCACCTGACCATACGACTGACAGACAGCAGCAGGGACCCACACTCAGGCCTAGGACACCCTTCCTTCTCACCTGACCATACGGCCGACAGACAGCCCCACACTCAGGCCTCAGACACTCTCCCTCCTCTCCTGACCATATGGCTGACAGACAGCAGCAGGGCCTCATACTTAGGCCTCGGACACTATCCCTCCTCTTCTCACCATACGACTGACAGACAGCAGCAGGGCCCACACTCAGGCCTAGGACACCCTCCATTCTCACCTGACCATACGGCTGACAGACAGCAGCAGGGCCTCATACTCAGGCTCTGGACACCCTCCCTTCTCCCCGGACCACACATGGGATTATAGTCTGAGGCAGGGGGCTCGGCGTGGAGTCATAAATGCCCACCGGCTGTGGGCAGTTTTCGGAACAGCCACCGCTATCCGACTGCACGTGTACAATTACAGCAGCAATAAAGTCCTCTCTCGCGCTCCAGTGCGCTTTATTTCTCCGAGGTGAATTCTGAGAGCTGCCAACTTAGCACAGCGCTCTGTGCAGATCAGTGCTAATTTTGTGTTTTTGCCGCATGCTTCACGTTGTGAAATATTGGTAACAACATTTTTGTGCATTCTTAACTTTGTTTTAATGCATAGTATCGCCCTAGTGTCTTGGCCTCATTCAGCGAGATCTCAGGCATTATACCTATAGGCCGCACTAATTCGCGTTCTGCCAAAACGTTTTATAGGTAACCAAAAGCTGGCCCATCGGCCTTTAACTTCACAGCGGTGAACAATTTCTGAGCGGTCCGCGTTCGGAGGAGTCCATGACATGTTCCAGTGTCCACTTCAACGTAGTCCATAGCCGACTAAACCGACGAGGCTATCGTCCGATAACGACCACCACCAAAACAACACGGATCCTGTCGCACATGCCTGACGTGGGTGTCCCGTTCCAACCCGCAGCCCGTCTTGCGGTTACGAACAGGGACATCCGCGGCAGCCAGAAGTACAGCCCACGGATATGAAGTACGACCCATCCAACCCATGTACAGCATGAAGTACAGCCCATCAAGATTGAATACGCAGGCAATATCTATCTAGCTCTTTGGAACAGGACAGCGCATCGGAGGCCTTCCTACCCTGTGTAGGCCCGCGTTGGTCGTAGCCTCATCACCGCAGTAAAGAAGGCCAGAAACCTTGGTGTTTTCATAAAACCGTATCTTGGAAATCGCACATCAATGTGATTGTGCAGCAGTGAATAAGGATTAAAGTTGCGTCTTTACACAATCGTCAACCGATGCCGAAAAACATCATGTGCGAAGTTGTGGAATCGCTAGCGATAACGCATGTGCTTTAGTGCAGCACTTTTTCAGGCAGAGCACAAGTTTGGGCCTAGGTACCGCATATGTACGGGTACTGCACTAACGCTGCGTTCGGAATGTACCTTTCGGCCGGAGCGATAGCGGACCTTCGTAAGTATGAGCGTTTCGGTGTCACTCGGCTGCAGCTGGACTGGCTGGGCGTGGGCGAGCTCATCGAAGACCGATTATGCGTACAAATGGGTATGATCACAGCGTCACTGGAGATCCAAATCAATATTTTTATTATTATTTTACTATTTCACAACCTATATAGCCTATTTCAGGATCAACCTGTGTTGGGTAGGCCATCAATACGACGTAGCCACGAAAATTTTGTGTGACATGCTTTTGAGCTGAAGCAGGTGAGCGTGGCTTTTTGTTCAGGGCACAACATTTTGGAACAGTGTCCTCCGGAAGTGCAGCAGGCTTGCAGTGAGTGATCGTTTAACGGGCAGTGAAAAGGCGTTATCAGCAGGAGGGCATCTGTCTAACCGCATCAGGAAAAGGATAGAGATTGATTTTCTGAAGTTATGCGAGGATAGGTGTTTATGTTTTGTGTTGTATCAATTGAAATAAATATGCTCTGTGTATGTGGCATTTTGGTAAGTTCAACATCACAAACTGTGTATCTTTGCGCAAGAGTGCAAAAGTGGTGAGTTCATCAGGAAATGATGCTAAATATTCAGGTTTCTATATCTGCATGCTGCACGCACATCAGCTCTAAAAGTATGTACAAAATGCAATAATATATATATATATATATATATATATATATATATATATATATATATATATATGTATATATGTTGGAATATTTTAGCAGAATCCCTTCTTTTATATTTGTTTGATTAAAAATAACTGCTAACTCAGCATTGACGAGATTTTTGACGCATCGTTCTGGTTTCCGGGCCTTTGACTTGGCATCATCGCTTAGATTAAAGATGGTTCGCACAAAATTACTCATATATTCATCGCTCCTTTCATTCTAACGTTTTGAGATCCTATCTCATCGTCGGGGAAGACTGAATGGCACGAGATAAGTTTTGAGTTTTAAAGAATAAAAGATTGAGCATTACTGAAGGAAACCATCTTTTGGTACGAAGAAAATTCACAACAGAGCTAAGTGTGCAAACCGTAATACTCTTTGTTGACGTGACTGTTGATGGACAAGGACAACAATTCAAAACGACTGTATACGGAAAGCAGACTAACAACGGACGGTGTTTAAATGCTGACAGCGAGTGTCCTCGACGCTACAAAATTAGCGTCATAAGGTTCTTCATTAGACGAGCATTTAAGCACTGCTCTGATTGCACAGGACTACATTCAGAATTGATAAGAATCAGACAGATTTTGGTGAACAACGGTTCTGACGTTAAAAACGAAATACGACACATGACAAGACACTTTGACAGCAAACCACGACAAGACATCCAACCGACCGTCAAGCTGTATTATCAAAATGAAATGACATCTGCCCACAAACAAGACGACAGCTTTACGGGAAACTATCTCTCGACATGTTGAAGGCAAAAACGACCACAACATAGATATCATCATTTATCATCGTGATAAGAAAATATCTAACTTTCTTATGAGAAACATCCCAGACAAACCCGACAAACTAAAATACACCAATGTAGCGTATCAATTAAAATGCATATATATATGCATAAAAATGCAATTAAATGCATATATATATATATATATATATATATATATATATATATATATATATATATATATATATATATGATAGAAACAGTACTTGGTCCTCATTCGACAAAGATCTATCGGAGTCATCATGAACCCAATTATTTTATGTATAGGTTGAGTAACTCGTAGGTGGAATGAAAACGTTTTCAGGTGGAAATGGATCAACACAAAAATGCCGCAAATTGTAGCCAGCAAGGTCAGCTTATGTATGCCGTGCTTCGAGCCATGGATGTCGCATTCTGAAATTTATTTGGAAGGGCGTACGAGGGTTGAATGTCTTCATAGTATTAAGTTTTCAGTGGTGGAGGATATTTTTGGAGACATTTTGGCGATGTTCGTAGAACTTTGAAGTTTCGAAGACAAACACTAGAGGTGAAAAAGGTCTTCCAAGCAGATGCGAAGCTCCACTCATGCATAAACACTGGCTTCATACTTCTTTAAACCATGCACTAAGCGTCGTTGCGTCGTTGTTGCCCTGGACGTGATCGCGCTGTAAAGAACAGACTAAGACATTTTGGAGTGTGTTTAACAACTAACCTACCATAATCTGAATTCACCACGCTACTTTCAGCAAAGCACTTTTTAAGACCACCTGGAAAAATGCTTGCTTTTAAAATTCGACATTTATTGATGCATGCGTACCGCAGAGCGGATTGTGCGCGCTGGTGGCTGGAACGAAATTACGGCAGCGGGCTACCGATTACACATTTATCCGTTGTGAGGTCGGATGTCACTTGACAGGCGTTTTCATGCCTTCACTGGCATATGTCCCCATGGCTGAAACGACCCGGCTGTACGCCATACCGTCAAGCCTAAGCGAGTGACACGACAACGTTCTTCACAGTCGGCTATCTCTCAAAAGTACGGTGCATTTTTGGGTGTACCACAGACTACTGATATGATTAGTTCCCCGTAAGTATATACATAGGTCAATATGCACGTAGGTGAATATATATAAACAGTTCAACTTGTCCAAACATTGAATTACGTTCCGAGCCGACGTTTAAATGCTGCGATTGCCGGCCGCTATTGCAACGTTAAGATTTTGCCCTTGCTTACGTGCATCTGTTTGAGGGATAATTATTCCCAAATCCGTCGTATTTGGGCACGTAATAGGCATTTCGGGTGTTTAGATGTGTTAAGCTGTTTGCGGGTGTCAGGGTCGAAAGTTCTAAAGTTCAAGCCCAAACTCCCGACTTCTCTTCAGCACAGCGATGGAGGCAACCGCTCCGTTAAGCTGTTAATTTCGTGCTTTTGAAAAACTTCAGCTTCTGACGTATCGGGTTATTGACCAC